GACCTATTGAACTATTTCCTGTTTACCATTACTTTGCTGTTTGCTTTTTCTCAGGACAACCTTATATGGAATTGCTACCAGTGGACCAAGGCAATTTGCTCTAGTGCTAAATTAAATCAGTGAGAAAGGTAGCAGCATTTAGACTTCAAATGTGAGTTAAAAGGAATAGAACTTGGCGCAACATCCATGTGAAAAATAACCATGTGCTGCTCTGATGTTAGTAAAGAAAGCACTTGAACCCTCAAACGTCTGGCAGTAATTTCTGAACCTGAAAGCTTTGACCTATTTTACAAAAGAATAAGCATTAATATTTTAAACAAAATGACCAACAACGAAAGTCCTGCTGTGTCTGATGAAACTGCACCTTGACAGCTTCACTTCTCATAACTAGTGGGAAGCTGAGGGTCTTATTATAGTGACGTTAAATAACACTTGCATAACTCTGCTTATTTGTTACAGATGAGAGAGTAGGCTAATGTGTATTCTCTTGTGTGGAGGAGGAGGAGGGCACTTAAGAAATGCTGAATTAGTGTACAGTAGGACCTCTGAAATACACAGTGGGTGGGGGTTATTTGTTGAGGGACACCTTCCTTTATACACTTCCTTAATTCATTTTCAGTATTTTCACATTCTTCTTCTTCTTCATTTAGATTTTTTTTCATTCACCACTATCCACTTCATTGGAGACAAATTTGTGACCTTATTTCCGTGACAATATTCTTTCAAGTTTAGTGGACGTTCATTTTTATTTTTACACATTAACAACTTACATTTTTGGATGTTAGTGAACTATTTCAGCAAGTGTTGGATGGATTATTATAAAATGTTGAGAATAAATCCTAATCACTTTGGAGACTTTTTCTCTGGCACCACGATGAGGTTGGTATCTGGTTTTGAGTGAAATGTCTCAACAACTGTAGGATGGATTGCCAAGAAACACACACATTCATGTTCCCCCCAGGATGAATTTTAATCACTTTGATCCTCTAATTTTCATGTAGCCGATCATCTGTTTGTCCCATCCCTTGGTGTATGACCAGATATTTGCAAAACTGACATCAGCCTCAGCTGTACTTTGTATTTTGCATTATTTAGTAAATGTTACTGTAACATGCTAAGATGGTTATATGGTAAATGTTATTGTTAAAAATATACTGTGTTGTTATTATGTTAAAATATCATCATGTTGACAGCTTCATTGTGAACATATCAGCATGCTGATGTTAGCATTCAGCTCAAACCATCACTGTGTCTCTGTACAGTCTTGCAGAGCAGCTAGCATGGCTGTAGACTGTTGTTTATCATTATCGGAATATTCTAGCTGCAGCTCACCTGTTCTAATAAACACTGTTTAAAAATGTGATAGGATAGTTATTTTAACCAATAAAAGAGAACTTCTCCTCACTATCTCAAAACTTCTCAGACTGCAGATAGAGCCTTTTAATATATATAAGATATATAAAACATGTTATGATTGTTTTCATATTTCACGTAGAAGGAAGTTGTTATAAAATCACTGTTTAAGCCTACATTTTCTGTGATAAAATCGTTCATATCAGTCACATCAATTCTACCATAACCCACATAACAATTGCAGCAAAGAGGTGCTATTCTCTTCTTTACTATGGGAACCTTGTAATATATATAATTTAAACATTTGCCTTAAAAAACTGAGACAAGGGGAAAGCAGCAAATAGCTCATAGTGTGATAAAAGCCCTTGTAAATGATCTACAGTGATGTAAAACAAACAAGCAAAAGCAGAAAATGAGCAAAACCCCCAGTCACACTGTGTCTTGAGATAAAGGGGGATAATTATTTCTTTGGTGTTGTTTATCGCTCATTGGCGGTAATCAGTGCACATTTCCATGTGGAAGAAGAATGAACAGCCCACTTAAATGCAAGATGAGAAATCTAAGGGGCAGAGTAGAAAAGGAACGAAATGTTTCTGTCTTTTGTCTTGTACCACTCTTTGTAAATGTTTTGTTTTGAAGTGAAATTGCACACCAATTTAAACAAAATTTTTCTCTCCAAAGCCAATTGCTCCTCTAAAAGCACAAAGCAATACTGAACATTACCGAGTTCCTTAATAAGTAACAAACATTTCTGAGGACTTCAAGTCACCACTTAGAGAAATGATCTGTCTACAAATGGAAAATTAGTTACCAATTTCCGAAAAGTAAGTTCAATTACGCTCAGAAGAAGTTGTAAAACCAGTACTGCTGTCATCATCTGAGTACTGGTGGGGTCGCAACCCTTGATGGAAAATATTGTTTTATATTTCCCTCTCATTTCCTGGTGCTAGCTGCTCTTACCAAGGCAATAAAAAGTGTTTGTTCTGCTAATTGCTCTGAGTGGATGAATGTATTTCAAAATGGCATGCAAGATGATGTAATTTGCATCCTACATATCTTTTGTCTAACTTTTCCATGCGTATCCCCCACTTTATTTACATGTTACACCAGTCTGAGTCCCTACTTTGTTAACCCCCCAAATAATTCCATGTCTCAATTATTACCAACATCCTTCTCACTCTTACACCTCTTTCTCTTTTTTTCCATTAACTAAATTTCTTCCACCCCCACTTTTTTTTAAATCAACCATCTTTCCTTCTCAATGGCGGCATAATTCCCTTTCTGTCTGGCCATTACGCAGTGCTGTAACACAAAAAAACTACACACATTCCTTTCCCATGAAGCCATGGGTCAGCTCGTGCCAGATACCCCTGTGTACTGTATGTTCTGACCGAGTGAACAAGTGACAGTAAGAGAGAAAGTGAGAGACAGGCAGGGAAGAATCAGACAGACAGTGTCGCAGAGGTACTGAATGAGGAGAAATCTGTATCTTTGTGACAGTTAACCTTATGAGCTTGCAGTCAGGACAGCCTGAGCTGGCAGCTGATGGCAGACCGCCACAGCAAGCCCACAGTGCGACCCATCTGTGCCTGGTATTAAAGCAGGCTCACACTCCAGGGCCGAAGCCACCATGCAGCGTAATAGCTACACGGACATAGGCATAGTCCTGAGGGGGCCAGCAAGTCGCCCACTGGGATGACAATAGCAGCTTGGTTAACACAAACACGAGCACTCACACTTCTACAAAAACTCCCACACATGCACCAAAACCACAGAAAGACAAGAAATAACACACTTTGGACGGGACTCATGACTTACATGTTGCTTTGCCTTGCAAAAACACATTAATGACACTTTCCTACACATATGAGTGAGCACATAACACCACTCCACCTTATTCTCCAAAACAGTGTGATACACATTTGGCTGTGAGCGATGTTATTTTCCCTCTCTGCACCTATTTGAAGCTCTGGTTGGACATTGTTCTGTGTTTACATCCTGTTGTGTCGACCGCTGTGTGAGTATGTTTTGGATTTGTCCAGGTGTGTGTAAATGTGATTGTGTGTGTATGTGTGTATGTAAGGGTCAAAACTGGAGCACAGTGGCAATGTATGTTATCACAGCTACCGTGAGGAGTCTATGTCTTCTCAGTGTGTATTCAACTGCCTACTGGCTAGAAGACAGGCGTCAAAATGAAATAAAGTGGGGAAAAAAGTACATTTACAAAATAGCTATAGGCAGTAATGTACTGGAGTAGGTAAAAAGAATTTACCAAAAATGATAGCTTAGCAGTAACTTTATAACCTAAATTATGCCGGTATTGCACATCAAACAAGTGGTATCAAAGAGATGTAAGTCATTTAAACGTGGCATCTTAAAGGGACAGCAAAACCCAGAATCTATCTGGCCTTTTCTTGTCTGGAGTCTGCTATGTCATTCTTCACTGACCTTCAGCTGTGTCCCTCCTAATATTCAGCTCGTAGTTGTGTTAATGGACATCCATGACAGCAGCTTGAACCCCGATTTCCCCCCTTGAATAGGTTGAATAGGTTAGAGTTACAAAAATGTTTTTTTCCACATTGTTTAACAATATAACATTATGTATTATTTTTCAGATTTGTCCCACACGGAAGATCTATGATGTTCAGAAAAAAATTCACACCGAGTATTACATACATTTGTAGACATTTCCCTAAAAATTCAGTCTGACACACTGTATTTGTTACCAAATAAAGATTTTATTTGCAAAACATGTGGTCAGTTCGTAAAATGTGATGCCATGTTATAGATTAAACTACCCAGCAGTATATAAAAAAGTAAAATTTAGCTTCACCTCGACCAATTATAATCGTAAAATGCAGTGATAATATTCCATTAATATAATAGGCTATCACACACAAGGTCCATGTTTCTGCGTTAGAAACTTGTGCATTTGTTACTTTTGATACACTTTTTTGGATACATAGTAGGCTACATACATTTACTTGTTAATGCAAGACTTTACTTGTTATGGAGTATTTTTAAGTGTGGTATATACTTTTACTGCAGCTGTGGCCCAGGGGCTAAAGAGGGCTGTCCACTAATCAAGAAGTGTCTTTGCCATCAGTGTGTGATGTGAATGGGGTGAATGTGACATGCAGTGTAAAGTGATTTGAGTGGTCGGAAGACTAGAAAAGCGCTAAGTACAGGCCATTTACCATTCCACCACTGTGGAATACTGCAATTACAGGGAATGGACACATCCATTCATCCAATTTTTATACCAGTTTAGTGTCAAGGGAGGACTAGAGCAAATAAGAGGTTAGGAGCTGGTTGTGATCTTGATGACACTGTCAGAGTTATGATCACAGAAAACAAGTTTGACACCAGCTATTTGTTTACAGGTCTTTAAATCAGACTGTTTAGACTCTGAAAATGAGTTTAATTAACTTGAGATCAACTCAAGGTAGAGTTAGGTTTGTAATGTTCTCACTACCCCAAAAAGGCTGTCTCTATCCTGCCAACTGAAAGGTAACTTGACCTCAGTTTGGGAGGACCCATTCTCCACTACACCCCCTGTCAATCCTCCTAACTCCACTGACCCTCTTCTCGCCCGTTCCTCTTCTGGCCGGTAGAGGTCGCAGCCTAGCAGTCGCTCAGTGGAGGGGAAAGCATGGATGTATCCGAGCGCTCCCACATTACAAAACTACTGGAAACCAGGAACGGAGCACGGGCGCGTAACGGGAGAAACCGTCGACCGGATCAGTTCTGCATCTTTACCTGCAACAGGGCCGGCTCGGCCCGCTGACAAACAACTTTAGTGACCGTTTTACTTTATTATTTCCTGTGATTACCGAGGCTCCCGTCTCTTTCTCCCTCTCTCCAAGTGAACTTTATAGGGATGATATATCAGAGCATCACCGCGCTGAATGCCCAGATAGTGCTGAAGTAGGTGTAGGACGGATGTGAGGAGTGAACGACTGGAGAGACTCGGGCCTCTTCTTCTACTACTACTTTTTGTTCGGTTTTACACACAAGAGAAAAGAGTGTGAGAGAGCGACTGTGTGTGTGTGTGTGTGTGTGTGCAGGAGAGTGAAAAAGAGAGAGAGAGAGAGAGAGAGAGAGAGAGAGAGAGAAAGAGGGAGAAGTCGCACCGGTTTTTTTGGAGCTACGCTTTCATGCCGTCAGTCTTGCGGACTCTGAGATGGACGTCAGATTTTATCCAGCTCCCCCTGCAAGCGTGGGTTCATGTACGTTACCGACTGACTCCGGTTTGGACTATTACCACTCCAACAAGGTAACAATTATCTTTACTTTACGAGCTTATTGTCGGTCAGATGTGCAGCCTTCGGTCTGATGATGCATACGCGCACGCACAAATACATTGGTTACACATGGTGGCCATATAGGCTAACAAGTGTTAGGAAGACCACCAGGGTCAAGTGCTGCACTTTTAGTACCCTCGGGATGAATTACACTGAAATGTGTCTGTAAGCTGCAGCATCGCTGAACTTTGTTGTATTTCTGATGCGCAGATTGTTTAAAACTCTGCAGGAAATCACACATGACACCTGTTCTGAGCTCGTGCACGCTGGTTTCCCTTTAATTCGAATTTGTTAATGTGTAAATCTGGTATATTATGGGTAAATTGACTGTCGCTGTCCTGTGAGCTGAGTTGGAGCGCACTCCTCTCTCCAGAGCATTGGGAGTACAAGCGAATGCTCTCTCTGAACAAACTGGACACAAATTCAATATGTGCCTCTTTCTCCTTAAAACGGAACACATGTAAACCAACAAAATTGTTCCCTGTATAATTTAAACCATGCCTATCTAACGGAAACACACTATCTTATCTGCTCCACGCAGGTTCCCACATGGGTCAATGCACAATTAGTCCAATAAACAACTATCAAGATTGCGTCTGAATGTGATGCGTGCTATGGGTCGGGGCTTTTTGTGACGCTCTAAGGCATAGCCTACACCGTGCAGCTTGTAACTGGACAGTCTGCATATTAATGTGTCTTCTTGTGCCTCATTGCTCGATAAAGGTCTTTCCGTGAAGAATATTTAATATTTTAATATATATATTACCATACATACAATCTCATCAGCAAGCACATAATAACTTTTTTTAAGGAATTAATTATTCATCAGTGACCTATAGCGAAACCACCCGTTGTTGCTTAAAATTCTAAAGGATGAAATATCGGCATTTATTTATTAGCTTTTGTGCTCATATCAACACACGCACATGCGTTTTTACGCACGAAAATTGGTATCCAATGTTACTAGAATCAGACACTTCTATTAGTAAATTGAAGTGAGAATAGGTGCCATGAATTAATTATCACTGACAAACTTCTATTTGATGGAAGGTACTACAGAATCAGTTCCCATCAGTCCTTTTTAGATAGCAAAATATTGTCACGTTTCGTGAATAATGCAGATATTTCTGCTGAATGTCATAGGGCCTACACTAAGAGATCGCTTTTGCATTGCTCACTCTTTCCAAGTACTTGGTACTGGCTCTTTGCTTTGCTGATAAAAGGTTTTGCATTTAGACAAATGTACAAGCCTGCCAAATAGTCCAGGTCAACCCCTCACAGGCAAAAAGGCAACTTTTTTTTTCATGTGGTCAAGGCAAAACTTGTGTAAACAATTGGTAGAGCTAGAAGAAAGCATTATACCCACAGCCATTCAAATAGGTTTGCTTGCCTTAGCACCTGGAGGGAAGCCAGCAGGCAGTTAACATTTGCTGATGACAAAGTGAAACATTATAGCACAGTACAATATTTGAATTGTTAATCTCTCCTGTCCACACACACAGTCACCTGTATGTACAGTATACATGACCAACACACACAGACAACTACACACACACACGTACACACGCACACACGCACTTTCACATTCACTTGCAGAGGGTTTACTAAAAATGAATTACAACACATGAGTACTTTACATTGATTACAGTCTTCCTTAACCCCTAACCTACTGTGACATCAACTTCAACCCTTTAACTCTAACATAAACTGATGCTATGTCTGAATTTACCTTAAATTAGCCCGTTAATAAAGTAAGGACTGGCAAAATATTCTCACATAGAAGGGTTTTTGTAATCTTTTTGTCGTTTCATAATGTTACGCTTGTGTGCGTGTTACTGAGTGTTGTATGACTAGGTCTGACTCACACACATAGCCATAAACACAGTAGCTGCAGATGCATATTTAAGAGCACAATGAAACCTGGCTGTCTGACGAGGCCCTGTCTCACTTCTTGAAGTGTTAACACGATGAACTGTAGTTGTCATGATTCAGCGAGTGTAGAGGTTGTTGACTTGGTGAGCAGCGGCAAGTTTGGGTTTCAAGGACAGACTCGTATAACGCTGTCCTCACTAAAGTAACAGCTGTGACTAAGATGTAAAGTGACATATTATCTGTGCCATGCCGCTGCTACCACACATAACTGATTGTTGTTGTTGAATAATGATACAGGAGCTTTATGTGACGTTTTGGATCTTTATGGCAGTTTCATTTCAGGAGAGGGATGCAGTTGACCTGTGTTAGCAGTGCCACAGTGGTCTAATGCTACGTCACCTGCAGGTGAAGGGAAGCTTGCAAAGATGATGAAAAATAAGTTATTTCACAGTCATGATGTAGTTATTGCATGCATGGTTTCAATGGATTTTGTCTGAATATTTCACAGGAAAATGAAAAGATGATTGTAAGTCATTGCATTAAGTAGCAGTTATTCATAAACAGTAACTATGGCTTGGAGTTTTGTCACAAGCACAGATCATTTCTCATTAAGAGACGTGCACATACAGGTTATGAACAGGCTCAAAAGTATCAAACCCTCCCTGTCAAGGCCTCCTGGAAGGTGTTGATTCACCATCATTTACACTTGCAGGCAGGCCAAATATACATAGCTTGTGTGAAACTCACTAGTGTGTTTATGCATTACAGTACAGTATAAAAGACACCAACTAGGAAGTGAGCATAATACTAAGTAGGACAGTCCACATATAAAAGCTCATAACTTCCTGTTCTTGTGGTGTAAACTCAAACACATGTATTTCTGAGAGTGAATAATAGGCTTTCTGAGAATTACTTTGTGTGTGTGTGTGTGTGTGTGTGTGTGTGTGTGTGTGTGTGCATATACCTGTATTAATTCTGTTTTCTACCTGAAGGGGTTAATAATTGAGGAACGTAAAGAATGTGTAAGCTAAAACTGATTTGAGCTGATTGGCCACATTCAGACTGATGATTGATTGATGCGTGCCAGCAATATGGATCATACTGACAGGATAAGTCAATACCACAAATCTATGAATGCACTATGGCTTTTAAATTTAGGCAGGGGTTTCCCTGCAAACCAAAGTATGTAACAATAATCTATGCTTTAATCAAAATATGATGAAGTCTAATGCAATTTATTCTTTGATTTCCTTTTTCAAACCAAAATTCATTATCAGAATACAAAATGATAAGATTATGTAAGACAAAATTCTGTTGGGCTTCTCTACATGTCATTGTTTATTCCTTGATAAAACACACAGTGCATCCACATCTCAGAACAATGCAAAGAACAGCACATGAGAAAAGCATCGATTTGTATTTCGCTATGAACCCCACGGCTCTGTTGCTCTTCTCAACTCCATCCAACTTGCATTGTCCTGCACTTGCACAATCACCGTGAGTCATCTTTACTTTTCGCCCAAGATTTCTCCTAATCTTTTTGAAGCCTCTCTGTATCTTTCCTCACTGAGTGGGAGGCTTGTTTGTTCAGCGTACACTCAGCTGTGTATACCAGCGCTGAAGGCCACTTCTTCGCAAATGCCTGTTTTAGCGGGAGACTATTTGTCAAATGCATTATGACTTGTGCATACCCCGAGGCAGAATCACTCCGGTGAAATGAAGTTGGATATATTACTGTAGCTGTTCCACTTTCTCTTCATCCCTCTTCCCTCTAACAGCACGGTGCCCAAGAGAAAGGCTCTCATGTAATTAGACTGTAGTTATACTGTAGGTTTATAATCCAATGGTTTGCAGATGTTATTCTTTACATAGCTGGATTCTGTTCCAAGTTACTGTACGTTATTTATATATGCTGAAGCTGTTTTCACTGCAGTGCGGAGCAAACACTTTATTGATACACAGTTTGTGCAGTACTCACAGAAGTGATATCTCAATCAAAGCAGGACTGTGTCTGAGCATGTTATGCGTGCATGTGTGTGTGCAGCGCATACCTAGTTGCTAATATACCTTGAGGCAAGATGTAGTAAACATGTTTGACAAGATAGTCCTCATTAATAGACTGATCCAGGTTTTCCCACATTCTTTGTAAAGCACGTCTTTAGATGAGTGCAAGTAGCAAGCAGCGGACGTTTGTCCACCCAAAGAGCAATGAGGTCAGCTTTTGCAGAGCACGTACCACCCCTTTTCAAGTGGTCCGTTCCATTTCCACCACTATCCAAATCACTGTATTAGTCATGGGATACTTCAAAGTATGGCGAAAATATTTTCGTTGTTGAATTCTCAGAATGTGTTTTTCTTTCCCTCTTCAAAACATGACCGTAATAGAAACAGAAAAAGAAAAAGTTATTCCAGCAGTACCTCATTCTGTACACAGAGAAAAGTTAATTACATGGAGGCAAGCATTCTTGGGTTGACAGCGTGGACTTGGGGTTTTTCATTGTGCCCATTCATAACATTCTGCTGACTGGCCAGTCCGAGCTGCAGTATCCAAACCGTTCTCACTGGGAAAATGTTAACCCTTGCATGGCTCTAATGGACACCAGAGGGGGAAAAAAACGCAGTCTAAAGCTGCTGGAACTGGGAATACTCAAAGTGTTGAGTTTATTGTTCTAATGCAGTTCCAGGCAGTTAACCCAGAGCAAATAATAGATAACATAAAATGGAATAGCGGAATGAACATAATTCTTTTGTATTTAAAAAGACGGTCCACTTTCTGAAGTTATTTTTTGGTCTAACCACTTCCTGGCACGATTCATAATGAAGTCTGTCTGTCTCCGCACCTCTCCCCCTCTCTGTATCTAACTTCTTCTCTCATTTACCTTCCCAGCAGCAATGTCAAAAGGTTATGGAGGGAAGCCGGATTGCCTGGGGCTGATTGTGTCTTTGAGTTAATGATAAGTAGCTACAGTTTTATTCTCTGAAGCAGTAGGTGTTCGGTGCACAGAGCATTACAGTAGGAGAAATGAAGACTTAGTTTTTTGATCACTTGTTCAAAACACAATAAAGGAAAATACAGGACTCTGTTGTGTACATTTTTGAA